ACGTTTAGTTTCTGTTTGATAGAGACTAATATAAGATTTTTAACAGATTTTGATAAAAGTTAATAAAATGTGTGATTGAAAAATTATGGGTTCTATAAAATATGTGATTAAGATCATTTTTGTTTCTCATTTTAGAAGAAATTAGACCATTGATGTGCCCCGCTAGACCCTTTTCTTTTTACTGGCCTCTCACATTGTGGGTGAGTTACAGGCTTCCAATGATACCCAAAAAAAATAAAAAATAAAAAATAAAATAAAAAAATAAAAAAAATCATTATAATATGGAAAAAATGAGAACCAAATATAGACTAAAATTAATTGTTAACTTTAATTTAAATTTTAATCAAATTTTCTAATTGCATTAAACATGGACTTAATTTTCTTTACATGATTGTCATATAGAACAAGTGAGATCATACCGAGTTGGCCGAACACGACCCCGTGTCGTTAGGAGTTGGGCAACCCAACGTTCTTCAGAAATTTGTTCTTTCAGCACCTATTTGAATTTCATTCTTTAAAAATTCATGTTTTCTCAAACTTATTTTGAATCCTACATTTTCTCAATAAAATAATTTTACGCATATGTTTCAAATTTTTCATAACTTTTAACCACGCATTTTCTCCAAAAAATCACTATTACAAAATATATCTTCTCAAAATATTGAGCACAAACAAACCCTTAATTTATTAGAAAACTTTCTAAAAGCCCGTTTGATTCCCATTTTTATCAAAATGTATTTTTCTCTCACTTTTTTTTAACCACATGTTCTTTATTAAAATAATATTACACGTAAATAAAAAAAAATTCTTTATTTTTCATCTACACATTTTTCATCAATTTACTATTCTAAAATTCATTTTTTCATAAAAATTGGTATCAAACACCCTTTAAATAGATGAAACATAATACACACATATATATATATATAGAAAAGCCCCATGTTGATGATCTTCTACTTCCATGTTTGGTAAATATTCCTGAATACTTCAACTTTTAATTAAATATTTCGATGAATTCACGAGTACAATTCATTATGTATTATTATTTTATAAACACGGCCCCATCTACCATTGCCCTCTTCTTAATCTTGAGTTTGGCCACATTAACTTTCTAAGGAAAAAGGAAAAAAAAAATACCTTATTTATCACGAATTGACATGCTGATGGCAACGAGTCACTTCAAAATCTGTTAAATCATACATTTTCCTATTTAAATAAAATTATGATGCACGAGGCACATGAAAATGCACACACGTGAACCCCCATTAATATTCACTGGACCACCTAAAGGGTAATTCGATTCCAAGATACATGGAATCTGTAATAAATACAAAAAAACGAAATTAAAAAAATTAGAAAAAAATTATTAATTCAAGTGCAAAATTATTTTATTAAAAAAAAATGTAGTTGATTTTTTTTTTTTTTTTAAAATCTGTACTAAACTTGATGAAATATTGAAACTATTCAATTCTCCTTTTATAAAGAACCAACTAGTTTTCACATAAAAAACAATTTAACACGGTTTTCAGTCCGAATTAGCCATAATTAGATTAGACAATGAAAATTCTAACAAATTTCAGTTCTACAAATCTTCAAGTTGCATATGGATATAAATTAAGATCATAGTTTCACTACCGTTCACATCTTCGTAAATTTTAATCCAAAATGTAAAATTGAAGCACATTCTTGTTAATTTGACTCATTTGAAGCAATTTGATGGTGGATGCGACAAACAAAAATATGCATAGTATAAATGGTTAATTACATAAAAAATGGAGCAAAAGCTACAAAAATAAAATAAATTGCATGGACTATGATACGTAAAATGACAAATGACAACTAATTAAGACACATTTTTTATTCCAAGAGAACATGCTTTCTTATTGAGAACATGAATAAACAGAAACAAAGTGAGTCACATTCTCTCTTTAACATTAACGGTTGCAATTTTTTCTCTTTTTCGGAGTAGTTCGGATAAGTTTACAAAAGTAAATTTATATTTCTAAACATGTTATATAATTTACCTTTAAAGAAGTTACCATCATTAAAATTAAATTTCACTTTACATCAGATTTATCTCAAAATTTCAACTTTATTTTAAAACATATAAGTAATCTTTTAAGTCAGCCAAGTAATTGCATTTTTAGTTTTTTACTCTATATAAAAATATTTTCTTTTAAAAGAAGTCTTATAAATAGTTAAATATACTTGTTCCCGATTTTTTGAAATGAATATACATGGTTATAAATACGAGTGAGATATTTAATTATATATATTTTTACGGTATGCATGCAGACATAAGTCGCATTACGAGCATAACTTAAGGTTAAAAAAGTCGACAAAATATTTGAACGTGTTTCCCTTGCAAACCTTGTCACAATCTACTAGATACGACAATCTTCGCCGATGCCAATTGAAAGTACAAAAAATAAATCTGCAAATTTTAAGTTTAATTATGACATTCTCACAAAAAGATTGAATTGAGATGGATCGAGCAGGGACACTTTTTTGAATTGAGATTGATCGAGCAGGGACACTTTTCCTATGGACAGTTATATTGTGCTGCTACAAAACTGTTTTCCTTGATTCCTTTTTAGAGGATCATCACTTCTTTTAAAGGGTTATCACTGAAAAAGACTACACCTCCATAAATCTGAGTACACAATTTAAATGGATTTAACTACTCATTTGCAAGATGCTCAAGCCAACAATGCTTCTTGGAGTATCTAACCGCAAAAAAAAGAAAAAAAAATAAATGTAATTTTAAATACGGTATTAAAAAAATAAATGAAATTGTAGGAGAATTTACATGAGTTTAGAGAATATTCAAATTCAAAGTACGAAATTCTAAGGATATAGAAAATGATAGAGTTTCTTGTTTTCTTTTAATAGTAGTCGACACGTATAGAGTGCTTACACCTAGGTTAGGCATGACCTAAATGAATGGACGAGTTAAATCTTGACACAGTCAAGATATGATTTAACACGCATATCTTAGGAATATAATGCAGTGATTCTAAGCGAGATATTTTTAGAAGCAAGAGTTGGAAATTAAGCTAATTTTATCAAATCAAGTCGTTTTTTTTTTTTTTTTTTTTTTTTTGGCTCGGAGTACTTTATTCTTCCTATATATTCTATATTCTAAGCCACCTTGAAAATCATTTCTTTTTATACATAGGACGTTCAAGTGAACAAGAATAGAGAAAGTACTGTGAGGATCAAAGTTTAAGTATATATTAAAAATAATTATTCAACTACAAAAATTATACATTAGAAAAATGCCTATTTAAAGTTAAAAAAACAAAATGTGAAAGTAGAATCAAACATCTTTTTAGCGATTTAGTTAAATTCACTATCATCATCGATTAGCACCCATTCGCTTTCAACAATCTCCATATATTCACAGATAAATATATTTATCTATATATTATGTTAGTAGAAGAATATATAATTATCTGATTTAAAGTAGTGTATTGATTCACTACTGTTGACTGAATAAATACATTTAGTCAAAATATGTCAAAGATCACTATTCCGATCAACTAATAGTCAAATTCCATCCGTTTGTCCTTTTGCTGCGACTATTCAAATATTTAAGATTGTGTGTAGGAAAAATTAAAAGTTTTAGTAAAATCTGCACAAAAATAAATAAATAAATTTAAAACTGTGACGCAATTCTTCATATATTTAAATATAAATAAAATGATTTCAATGTTCAAAAAATCATCACCGAACAGAAAGAATAAAACAACGGCTGCCCGTGAGTGCATGTCTGCCAGGATGTAAACAATCATGTGGGAGGAGTACATGCATCTTCTTTTGTAAATGAAAACCTCAAATATAGGAATTTTGCACTCACAATTTAATTAAAATCAAAACAAGATGACATAGCATAAAATTACCTAACCTCAAATAAATTCAAAAATATAAATGCGAAGTATCTTGTGGCATAACGATGGATAACACAAACAAACTATCGCTAACAAGTTCTACTACTTCTAACAATCATTTTGTTAGTTGGTCTGTTTTTATCGAACCTTCACACAGATGAAGTACATAGGAGGACAACTTACAACTTGACTCGATTTGATTTAAGCTAAAAATCAACTTTTAGTAGTTTTGATTAAAAAAAAGTTAAATATATGATTGAAAAGTTATGGATATACCATCAAATGTGTGGTTAGAATTAATTGTTGATTTTGATTTGAATTGAATTTTTTTAGCTAAATCAAACAAGGACTTAACCTCCAACCAGAAAAAGGGGGGCCGGGGGGGGGGGGGGGGACACCATTATATACAAATTTTTATGTACAACAAGAATTTTCCCTTTTTAATGGGGGGGGGGGCGGGGGGGGGGGGGGGGGGATCGTCAGTCCATTGTTTGCAGCCATCTTCACACTTAGAATTGTCATCTATCAAATTACATACGTTGTTGCTTCATCGTAACCATCGTCGTAATCCTTTTTGGAGTAAGCCAACCTAGACAAAACTAGTATCAGGAATACAAGTCTCGTCAATATCATCATTATAATTAAAAAAATGTGTACAATATCTTCATTATAATTATAAAGGTGTACGTGGATTGAAGTGGAATTCACTTTTTAACAATAATTACTAATCTTTCCATTTTCACACTCCTAGTTATATAAAACATATATACATCTTACATTCAAAATCTCTATGGGCGGATTAAAAACTAATAAATTAATTTCTCCTATATTTTTACTTAATTTTACTTAATATGTTCCTTTATGTCTGTCTTTTATAAGGAATTGGAAGTGGTGAGAAATTCAGAAGTTATTCTTTTTTAACGAAGTACTACTATTCCCTCTAACCAGAACAAGTAACAAAAACAGGAAAGAAAATACTAATTTATGCATATATACACTAGATATTGATAAATAAATAACAATTATTGAACGCCTAGTGGCTACAAGAAAACAAAAGAAAAGACAAAAGTGTAACGTCAGAGGAGGCTCGGTGGCTTAGCCTATGGTTTGTTGATGGGGAGGTGAAGTAAAGAGAAGGATACCTTCTCATCCAAATCTCTCTTTCACTCTCTCCTCTCCATCTTTCTCTTTCTCTCTCTCTTAATTTGTGTGGCTTCTGTAGAATCCTCTAGGTGTTAGCAGCTACCAGCAGGTAATGTTTTCGTCTGTATATAGGGTAAAGGCTTGTTGCATGAAAAATTTATTCTTTTTTTTTTCTTTTTTGAAAAAATTTTAATCCCTTTTTCTGTTTGTTTATTGTTTCGTGTGCTTGGGAGAAAAGTGAAGATTATCAAGAAAGCCGAATTTGACCTTTCTGTAATAGTTTTCATAAGCTTCACTTTTTATAAGCCTTTTACAAATTAGGGTTTCTGTGTTTATGAAAAGCTGCAGATCTATGGCTCATCAATCAATCTTGTATACATATATATTCTTGTTTTGTAACAGAAAACCCTGAAATTTAAGAACACAAGAAATCAAGAAATAGAGAGAGAATGTTACAGGGTATGTTGGTTGATGACAGTATGTCAAATTTAACATCTGCATCAAATGAAGCTAGCATATCTTCAAGCAACAGAACTGAAATTGCCACTGCTGCCTACCCTCAACAGTCCTTTGCAATTTCATCTGATAATCCGACACAACCTCCTGCTAGGAAGAAAAGAAATCTTCCCGGCAATCCAGGTAAGTACAATATAAATATTGAAGATTCAGTTTAAATATAGACTCTTTCAAAAAGCATGACGCATCCATTTATGAAAATGGTCAACACATCTCTAATAAAAAGAATATGGCACTGCATGTGAGGACGGCTTGTTGAAGACTAATTAGAACAAAATAAATGTCTCCTCTTTAATTTTAGATGAGATGCTTCAAAAGTATTCGTATTGGGGTCGAAATCCAAATGTTTTCTATATGACATCCACTGATTTGTCTAGTTTGGTAGTTTCTTGATTTTTATTTAAATTAATTAAAGATTTTCTCTTGGCCTTCAGACCCGGAGGCAGAGGTGGTAGCTTTATCTCCAAGAAGTCTTCTGGCAACAAATAGATTTATATGTGAGATCTGCAACAAGGGATTTCAGAGAGATCAGAATCTTCAATTACACAGAAGAGGGCATAATTTACCATGGAAACTAAAGCAAAGAAACAACAAAGAGGTAGTAAAGAAGAAGGTTTATGTATGTCCAGAACCAAGCTGTGTGCACCATGATCCTTCAAGGGCACTGGGGGACCTCACTGGGATAAAGAAACACTTCAGCAGAAAACATGGTGAGAAGAAATGGAAGTGTGAAAAATGCTCGAAACGTTACGCTGTTCAGTCCGATTGGAAAGCTCATTCGAAAATTTGTGGTACCAGAGAGTATAGATGTGATTGTGGAACACTCTTTTCGAGGTAAGAACTTGGTTTTAATCAGATTTTAAAAACCGAGATTTATTTCTTTATTATTATCACTATTAATCCATCAGTTGGTCCATCACCATTACATTAATTCTTTATTCACGGTACACAGTTTGACTAAGTCCCGTTTGGCTTCCATTTTTTTTTCAAAATTTAATTTTTGAAATAGTATTTTTTGAAAAATGTGTGGTTAAAAAAAAATAAAAAATTTTCGATTTACGTGTAATATTATTTTATGAAAGATTGTGTGGTTGAAAATAAAAGATAAAAAATGAAAGATAATGGGGGCAAAATATTGAAAACACCGTACTTGTTTAAACACCGTTATATATTATTTCAAATATTTGTAAAAATCAAATATTATTGAATGATATTTCCAGTTGATATTCATTGTTCTTTCCTTTTCCCTTTTTCTTGGGATAGAGGGTGAAAAAGGATGGATCTAAAGTTATACTTTATAGCAACTTCTCTGCAAAAAGAAATTTGTAGCATTGACAATAACCTTACTCGTTTGTACTGTCTAGGACACTTCAATGGATATAATACAAAATGATGGGGAAAAAAAAAAGAAACAAAAAACATTAAAGGGTTTACAGGAGAGAGAGCACTATTTTGACTATTCATGCATTTTTTGATAGTTTGTTCTTTTTGCTTTCTTGTGTTTATTTGTTGGTATTTCTTCACAGGAGGGACAGTTTCATCACCCACAGAGCTTTTTGTGATGCTTTGGCAGAAGAAAGTGCAAGATCAATGACACAACTGAACCCACTTTTGTCTTCCCAACAAGGCACTTCATCTACACCCCTCCCACCCCACCTACATGGCCTTCAACAATTTTCACTCAAACAAGAACAACAAATTTTCAGTTCAAGAACAGAAATACCTCCATGGATGACAGTGGAATCTGGTCTAGGTGCACCAGGTCCATCACCTAGTGAATTATTTACTTCCTCATCATCAAGGTTAGAACAGTCAATTCTCCATCAAGAAAACACAAACCCTAAAAATCCCTCATTTTCTTCTGGTTTCAATCCTTCTCATCACATGTCTGCAACTGCATTGCTGCAAAAGGCAGCACAAATTGGGGTTACAATGAGCAGCAGCAACAGCAAGACATATACTGCTCAATCAGATGGAATTTTTAGGGCCCACCTGGCTCACATGGGTGCACCAGGATACAGTGCTACATCATTGGCCTCATCTACAGCTGGTGCTGGACTGGGTTTGTCCTCTTCTCGTGAAGAGATAGGAACAGGTTTTGTCAATGTCACCTCAGGTTGCATGGAACAACTTGTAGGTGCAACTGTGGGAGCCAATTCTTCTATGCTTCATAATATGAGTATATTGACTTCTTTGCCTCCAAATAGTGGGTTCGAAGGATCATCAGCCTTTGAGGAAACTTTCAACAGAATGTTGAACTCAAAACGAGGGACTTCACATTTGAATATTGCAAGCAAAGAAGCCACCGCTGCTGGCGGAAGTGGAGGTGGAGGTGCGGGTAATGATGGATTGACGAGAGATTTCTTAGGTCTTAGAGCATTCCCTCATAGAGATTTTCTCAACATGGCTGGTTTTGATCCGATGGGTTCTTCCTCATACGATCAACAGACTCATCAAAATCAACCACCCTGGCAAAGTTAGCAATCCAAATGAGAAAAATTAGTTTGTCACTCTTTTCAACCTGTACAAGGAGCAACGGTTACGATAGAAAGTCCCTCTAGGCGGACAAGGAGGCTTCAATCTATCTACTGGGGGGAGCTAAGCACCATCCTAATTGCTGTATTAGTACTAAGAATTGAATTCTGCCTCCATTTAAAACTATTTAGCGTTCGATTTCATGATTATAATGTACTCTTCGTCCTGACTCTCCTAGTATGTAATAATTAGAAGAGAACATTAATTGCACGATTATTGATAAGTGTATTTTATGTGCTTACTTGCTGAGATTCCCGTTTAATAGCCCGATTTGAAATTTTGTAGTCCGGTCTTAGATCCAATCCTGAATTTGTCCCTGCTTATTTGAACTTCTATTCTTATTTATTTATATGTAAATTGAGCAAATATTTACTTAATTTTATGTAAATTACGTTAATTGTAGAAAAACTTCCAACTTGGATAAATTATGTGAAAAGAGGCTATTTGGAGCTTAATTGGAGATAATTTGAAGCAATTGAATATTATGCGGATTGAAGAGATCACATTTGAAAGTTAATGAAGCATTTGATAAAATTTCATAAGTTTCAATAGTTAAATTCAAAATTTTAAAAATTTGGGACTAAACTACGAACTCCGACACTTGCATCGGGTCAATTATTAATGATTTTAGAATGAAGATGACTTAATTACAATATTAGAAGATGAAGGACAAAATTACATGAAAAATGAGTTCAATTAGAAAGGGGATTTGTTTCCTTTTTCTTCTCAAACTCTTTGATGGAATTCAATTTGAATAAGGATTTCACCTAAATCTTGTTCTATAAATACATACTTTAGTTCACCAATTAAAATGAGGCTTGTGAATTTCATTATATACATATATTTAAGTCAAGGCTTGTGGAGGATACATTGTACATATATTGTACAAGCTCAAAGGAGAGAAAAATCAAGAAGTTAAGGTTTTAAAATTTTACAAGAATAAGGCAGAATCTTGTTGTAAGATCTTCATCTTTTTTTTCCCTTCAAAATTCGGAAATGTACTTTAATTCTTTCTTGTATTTAGTTAGTATGAATGACTGTAACTTAGTTTTGAACCTTAGTTATAATAAAAAAAATATAAAATCTTTAATTGATATTGTGAATATTATTTTTACTTTCAATCTTAATGCTTGGATTAATTAGCCACTAATCCATTAATTTTGTAAGCAATAGTTATGTGGAGAAGCAGATTATTTTTTTAAACAATGTAGTAAAAATTGAGAACTAATATAAAAGTGTAGATGTAAATTTTTCAGTTAATGCGATTGTTACATGAATTCTTAGAAATTTAACGTATTTAACTAATGTGTGTCTGAATTTACATGAAGATATGGAATTGATTTAGTTAAATATAATTAATTTGAACTCGAGAAACATAAATTAAATATGTTAGAAGAATCCAACAGAATAAAACATAATCAATTGTTACAAAATTTAGCAATTGAATAAAGGGGATAAATATGGTGAACTCGTGAATCCTAATACTTAAACCGTCAAGTCATATTTTATTATTTTAATCACAAAAATAAGATAAATTGCTTATATTTGTTTTAAAACAAATTGAAGTTACGAATAATATAATCAACGGTTAGATAGTAGTCCTTGTAGGAATGATATTCGAACTAATTGGTCTACTATATTCCTTGTTACGTTTCATACATTTATGAGATATAAAATCGACAACAATCATATTGAAAAAAATTGTATTTTTATTGAATTGGAAATCATTTTCCGTTCATAAGATCTGTTCGTTCAAAATTATTAGTAACTTTTTGAAGAAATGTAAATAATAGATGCGTAATAGTTAAGAATGTGTAATTTAAATTAATGCGTGACTTTGACAAGTAGAAAAATGAATTCATTAATAACTGAGAAAACCCGAAGAAAGGCACAATATATTCCCACACAGGTTAATTTCATAAATGGGCTCCGTAGCGCTTTCCCATTTGTAATTTGATCCATCTCCAAACTTTAAAAACGTGTCAGTCGTCCTACCCAATTAATTACAAAATGGTTTGATGTCCTGAATATAAAAATCAAATTGAGCAGCCAAACCACGCTGATAATATTTTGTATTGCCATTTTGCACGTGGATGGACTAATCGGACACGTCATCAAACCAATTTGTCACGTGGCTTAATTGATAAGTTTTATAAAATGGTTCAAATGGACAAAAATTTCAAGTATGGATGGATTAATTGGATACGTTATCAAAACAATTTGTCATGTGCCTTAACTGGTACGTTTTATAAAATAGTAATTAACACGAAACCTTTCAATATTATAGTACAATACTTAACAATCTTTTTTTTTTTTTTCACATTTTCACTTCTATTTCCACCTTTTATTGTAAAAATCATCATTTTTATCAATTTTCTCAATTAAAATTTGTGAAATAACGAGATTACCTTCCTATTTAAATAAAACAAAAAGAAAGAAAAGAAAAACAAAGAACAAATTGTAACTATACTTCCAATTTTTTATTTTTTTATTTTTAAAAAAATACAAATAAATCCCAAATAAATAATTAGGAAATCAAAATTCAAGAAAATATTCTTCCACCATCACCATTCACCAACCCTAGAATGGCAATCGGACTCATCGGCTCGGGTCGTCTATGGCTCGGCTCGAAAAAGCTCGAGCCCTCCCGGCTCGAAGCTCGGGAGAACCGAGCGAGCCCCATTTTTAGGTGTTGAGCAAAACTCGAGCTGACCCGTGTGGCTCAGCATATATTTAAAAAAAATTAAAAGCTCGAGTCGAACCTAATTTTTTTTGCTGAGTTTTTGCTCGGGCTCGGCTCGGGTAAAATACGAGCCTAATTTTTTTGCCAAGTTTTTGCTCGACCTGGCTTGGGCCCGAAAAAAGCTCGAATATTTTGCCCGAGCCTAGAATTTGGACTCACGAGCCGATTCAACTCCATTCGTTGACATCCCCACCCATCCTCGTCGCCACCCAACAAACGCCGACAACCACCACCCAAGCAGCCAGACCTTCATACCTCCGGGTGGCCCCACTTCCTCTACACATAGCACTCAACAACTAGCCACCAAAATCGGCAAGTCAAAAATACAAGAAGTGCCTGCACAACCTTTTTCGGCGATACCCACAAAACTCCATGGAGAGAATTCATCAAACAAAAACAAAGGGCAAATACTAGATGAATTTTATGGGTTTGCACGTACAAGTCACGCACGGAAAGGGGTGATTCTCGCCCATTCAATTGATGGCTCCCACATAGTCCAATCCACAAATTCTTTCGGGGAAAATCAAATAATCATTCAGATGACAATAGGTAACCATTTAATTGATCCAATTGTTAATCAATTGCCTCCAAATTTAGTCCCAACAATCACAATAGGAAAGGTGCAACACATCCATTAGAGGTTGTTATAGGTTGCCTTGATGAGGGAAACTTTTTGGTGGTAGGCCACATCGTGAATGTCGCCAAATTTCATGGTGCCCCCGACTTTAATGTTTGCGAATTGAAGGTTTTGGCAGCCAATTGCTGTTAAATTTGGTGTGATTTGGACAAGTAGGTTGGTGTGTTGTGACAGCAGGATGGAGGGCAGTATGGTGGTGGTGGTGGTGTCCAGTGGCTAAGGTGGTGGTTGAGTAGTGTTTCGGACATGCCAGATGTCATGGTTCCCCTATTGGAAAATAATCAATTGCAGCAACGTGCAGAACAGTAAAATGTAGAAATAAAACTTATCATCCGATTGAGTCTCGTGACAGCACAATATCCTAAAGTGAAATTGTCTGTCGATAACTGCTGCGACCTCCATGAATAATCATTTCTTGGATACAATGATCATAAACCATTTGTGCAGTAATCACGAATGGTTTTCAGAACCCTCAAGTGTACTTCAAAATATATGAAAAAAAATCAAAATATGAGAAATAAGATTTCGTTTAAGATGGTTTTCTGCTTCCTTTTATGTGTGTTTTTTCCAAAACGAGACGTGAGTTTATATAGGCAAACTGGGTGTAACTGTCTCCTCTATGATTAGAGAATTATGCAGAATTTTAATGACTTTGTGAGTAGTGAGTTGTTAAAAAACGATCACAAAATACTGACTAGTTTGACCTATCAAATAATTTCGAAAATAAATAAAAAAATATTTATTTTAGTCAATGAAGCCCAAGAGCCCAATCAAAGAAATTTTAAAAGTGCGTGGGGAGTGACTCGAACCCCAGATGTCCTACACAAATGCCACATTTTCCACCACTTGGGCATTTCATCTAAACTGATTAATTCTTTCACATTTTATATTTATTGTATAAATTTATAACAATCCCTCAGATAAAAGAAATAAGGTAAATGAAAATATTACTCTGGAGTACGGTAGAAATCATGCAGGCTTAGATGTCTATCAACTTGAATCTTAGCTTTATATATTCTATCGAGCTTGCTAACTGTAGAATGAACTATGTCTTGAACTCTACAATTATAGTTGCAAATTGAACAATAGAACACACACATGACTTTTACAGCAATCATTGAGTTCTCACAGTTGTGTTCATTTTTGGCCATGAACTTTTCCAATTTCTTTAAGTGCTCTAGAGAATTATTCTCAATTCTCATAGGAAGCGGCCCCACTTTCACACTCAAATAGGTGCTTCTATCAAAGGTGCACTATATCTAAACATCTCACTGAATATCAGCTATAGTAAGCATTAAGAGCATTAGCTCATCTTCTAATCAACACATTTGGTACTACGCTTTATAGGGAGGGCTTTGGAATAAATTCAATGTAGTATTCCCACACACCACTCCAATAACTGTGTTGTCCCATTGAACCTTGACCATGGGATCTCCAATCGTAAGGTTGGATTTCCGTTATAGGTGATCTAGTATGTAATAGGCTTTAGCCCCATCCCTCTCGATGTTTGTCGAACTAGCTCTCTAGCCAATCATTTGGTTAATGGATCAGCAATATTATCATTTGACTTTACATAGTCAATAGTTATAACCCCATCCTTAAGCAGCTGACGCAGAGTATTGTGTTTCCGACGAATATGTCTAGACTTTTCATTGTAGGATGAATTTTGAGCTCTTGAAATAGCTGCTTGAGTATCACAATAAACAGAAATAGTTGAAAATGGTTTAGACCACAAAGGAACATCCATAAGAAAATTCCTTAACCATTCAACCTCCTTACTTGCCTTATCTAAAGTTATGAACTCAGATTCCATAGTAGATCTAGCAATGGAGGTTTGTCTTGTAGATTTTCATGATATAGC